CCCGCGTACAGCGCGTTTCGTACCGGCGCCAGCGGTTTGGGGCCGCAAGTGACGAGTGACGTGGAGAGACGCGGGGTGCCCGCGCGCCCGCGTTGCCTGCATGGAAAGGAAGATGACGATCATTTCCAATAAGGCCGCGCGGCCTACGGCCAACGGCGCTCCCGACTTGCGATGACAGAGAGCGCAACATCTGCCAGCTGCACCACATCAGCACGGTTACATCAGGGCTCAACAGGAGGAGCAGCAGCGACAGGGATCTAGCAATAGGTGAAGGGGTCGCTGCGCATCACCTGGAACGCAATCAGCTGGCCAGCACGCGGCGTCGCCCGGCCTATGGCGACATTCTTGGCAGGCACTTTGACAACCGCTCGGGATCCTACACAGCCTGGGGCCCATCCGCCCCAAACCCTTCTGCCAGCCACAACGAAAAGAAGGCAGGCTCGTTGAAAGCGCAGCTTGCTGTGCCTGCGACGACGTCGCCCTCAACGCGACCTGCCGCTGCGCCCAGCAGTGTGACACCACCGCCCACCATGTGGCGTCTGGCCACTAGCCACGTGCTACCTTGGCCATGGCGCCGGCAACCTTGAGCTGCAGGGGCATCAGCTACGCGCCGGTGTTGCCGTTGGTCCTCCTTGTACTCTGTGGGCAAGGGTAGAGACGGAGGGCAAAGCGTGTTGAGGTGATGACAGCGCGATAACTTATTGGCGGCATGACGGCAAAATCACATGACAAGCAACACTGCAGAAGTGAGAGTGAGCCCTGTGCATACCCCAACTACGCCTCACCAGATGATGTCATGTTTGCTCCCACGCTGCAGCAGCGTGGGGTCGACCATCAGATCCCACATCTTGAGCTGGATGGTGCGGCTGGGCACACCACCCAGCAGGCGCAGTTGGCAACTCGTCGCGCCGCTCAAGCTGGGCTCGTGAGCCGTCGCCGCCATGCCGTCAGCGTACGGTGTGACAACTGCGGCCGCCGTCGCCTCTGCGCGGCTGACAGCGGTGCCAACCAAGTCTGCCGTGGCTTGCTGCTCTGCTCTGTCCTCTTTGCCCAGTGGGAGCTGCCAGCTGTCTTCAGCCAAAAGCGCGAGCCTGCACGGCAAAGACTGCCCCTGCAGCGACTCCAAATACCGCACTTGGTCCACCATCGGGCGCGCTGCATGCGTACGCGGCGCCCGCCCGACAGGCTGGGAGCAATCCAGGACTGGAGCTTGCTGGGGTTCACGTTGACAGGGGTTGCAAACATGCCAACTGCCTGTCACACAACAAACCCCAGCTACACAGCAACCTGATCGAATCCGGGCTGCCCACCACATGGCTGCTGTCCGCTAATACGGTCGGTATAGGGCGCGAACCTGCGGCGACGCCTCTGACAGCTGGCGCGCAAGCTCGCCTCCGCGCACGCCGCTTTGCAGCAACTCAAGCGTCCTCTGCCCAGCCCTGTCAGCAAGCCCTCGCACAGCGCCTTGTGGGCTGCGGGACTGGTGCGCAAGACATAGCTGGCCTGATGTGTCGCGTGTTGCTGCACACGGTCTGCAGGGCCAGCACGAAGCGCGGGTCCCGTGCATGGCGCCGGTCGCTGCGGCGCAACAGCTTGGCCCCAAACGCGCTCGTAAGGCCCGCAACTGCCTGCGTTGCAGACGGCTCCCTGCCCACACGGCGGCAGCGGCCGGCATGTGCCTGTTGCAAACAGAAAGACGTCTAAGAGCACGCGTGCTGGCCACGCCCTGTCGTAGTCGCTGGACGGCCGGCCCTGCCATGCCGCTGCTGTGAACAAGCGCCGCCGTTTCTGGGCAATGCAGCTGCGTCCTGCGTCGCCTACGCAGCCTTGTGCACGAACTCGTCTTGCGCCTGTTTTCTGTGGCATTTTCATGCAGTCCTGCCCCATAATGTATCGCTGGCTGCTGCTGGGCGGCCGCACAAATGGAGGCACAGCGACGCATCTGTGTGTCATGGGCCCTGTCAAGCACCTTGCGACTGCGGTGAGGCTCCCGACGGCTGGTGGCTCCTGCGCATGAATGGCCAAGGTGCATGCCGTTGAGCATGAACAAGCAAGCTGAAATTGCTCAGCAAAATGCTGCAGAGCAAAGCAGCAGGTAGCTCCCGAGCAACAACTGCGGGCACATCTGCGTGTGCGCATCAAGATTGCCATGGAGGCAAAAGCAGCCATGCGGCAGATCAAGTCATGCAATGGAGCGCATGCTAACCCCCATAACGGGGTTGCGTTTGCATACCGCAGTGCACCCCTGCCATGCAGCACCGACCGCCCAAGCCTCCAGCTCACCATGCACCCCCGCAGGCGATAAGCAGCAGCGCCTGCCGTCATGCCGCACAACTGTATGACCACTGCAAAGTATCTGCGCTGTTGCAGGCTGCATTGCGTTGAGAAGCGCCAGCCCTGGCAGCGACGCCAAAGGCATGCGCTTCGAAGCGCCAAAAGGCTAGAGCTGGTTGCAGACTGCGCAGCAGAACCGCGGAGCCGCGGCCCACAACTCGCGCCGCAAGCCGTGCGTCACGCATACATCACACGTCGGCTGCTTCATGAACAGGGCGTCAAGTGCAGCCGCCTGCATGCCAAACGCTCCGCCAGCTCGCACGCGGTAACGCTGCAGCACGCTTTCTGCGCTGGGCAAGTCCGGTGCCGCCTGCAATGATGTTTCATGCGCAGCTGGTGCCCGTCCTGCCGCTGCTGCTGGTGCTGCCGTCGCTGCCGCTGCTGCTGGTGCTGCCGTCGCTGCGGCTGCAGTCTGTGCCTCTGCGAAGATGCCCAAATCGTCGTCGGCCCTGCTACGGGCCGGTGGTCTGCCCCGCTGCTGTCCACAAGCCTCCAGAGCAAGCGATCACTCGATCGCTGGGAAGCCTGCTGATGCTGCAGCCAGCCCCCGGCAGGATCTCCAACACAGCCCAAGCCGCCTGCTGCACGACAGCATGCTGAGCACCACTGGCATTTACAACCCGGATGCATTTTCTGGTTGCCGCAGCGCCCCTCTTCATCAACTCTGTTGGGGCAGCCATGCGCCGCGCTGTCAGCTGCTCAGCAGTGCTGGCGGCGCAGTGGAACATGCGTGCGCTACATAGCCACAAGCTGCACCACAGCGTCTAGCACACAGATAACGCTAGCGATGCGTTCTGCCGACGAGATCGACGCTTACGGTACTCTACAAGATCCACTCAGGACGTCGCCACTCGTCCGGATCATGCTCGCGGCACCGTAATCACACGGTGCCTAAACAGTAAACAGATATAAAGCTTTCCGCATGCATGCAGCCTCAACGACGCGCCGTGCTTGCTTCGAGGAACGGGTTACACGGGTGACCACATTTTTCTGCAATCCGGCCCTGCCCCCAGATCGGTGTCCCTCATTGCTGTCGCAACTCGGGAACATTGCTGTCGCAATTAGGGAACAATGATTGTGTACGTATAGGACAGGCACGGTGGGACTTGTTGCTCGGGCCCGTGTTCTGGCCGTTTGGGAGCAGCAGAGCACACGTGCAAAAATTTTATGCTGGCATTTTCGCTTTTTCATGCGGCACAACGCCATCCCGAAGCCACCATCGACCGCGTGCAAATCAGTAGCCTGGACTCAGCTCACGCATGTGACAGTATGACCGCGGCTGCACCCCCGATTAAGATGGCAATCATCAATTAGTACCGCCTGCGGGCAAGCACCCATGCGTCGATCAGCACCACGAGCTGTGGGAGCAGCAGCATGACGGGGCGTTACTTTGACCGCGGCGCTGGTGCATGGGCAGCAGCAGCACGAAGAATTGCAGGGCCTCAGCAGGACACACAAAAATCCACACATTAACGTGCACCAGTGGGCAAGTACATGCCCGGTGCGGGGTTTGCACGCGCGGTCTGTGGGTGGCACACGCCAGGCCAGCCCGTTCCACCTGCACTGCGCCAAGCGGTGTATATCGACAGGGATGCTCTCAAGTCCAATCGTGTGAGCCTTCATGGCTCCAGAAGCGAGCGGCCGCTGCGGCCCTACCCCTTCAACACAAGGAGAGATCTGGTCCCGGCGCAGCACCGGGCGCGCCTGAGCCGCAAATGAACACCAGCTACGGTATGCTCAATGTTCAGCCGGGTTGATGCGCGCGCGTTCCAATCCTGAAGCCGTCGTCACCGGCCACGACGTGTACAGACTCCCAACCCACCCCACCACCCTGCCTTTCGGCACGCTGGTGGACCAGCGCGCCCACTCAAAGAGCCGTGTTGCGCGAAATGCAACACACTAGGCAATGCGCTGCCAGCCGAACATCCGCCTGAAACCAATCTACTCTCCCAAAGGCTGCTGTGTTTGCGCAACCAAGAGCGCTAGCGCCGCCGCTGAGTACGCTTGGCACTTGCCAGCTCCTGCCAGCGCAAGGGACAAGAGCGGTCGCTGCCGTGACGCGGGCGGCCGACTCGCCAGCCGGCCAACCAGCAGCGTCCCCACTCAAATGGCCATCGTCCTGTTTGCCAAGACATTTCTTTGCTCACGGCTGTTCTTTACGTGCACTCATACGCTCATTCGCGAGCAAGCCTGCTGTCGACCGAAGACGCGCCCTTTTGGCACATCCCCTCTGTGAAGTCCGTTCGGGCGGAGGGCTGTGCGTCATCGATAAGTGTACCAATAAAAACGATCAATTGTGCGATCCTGAGGCCGCGGTCGATGCGTGGCGCCAGCGGCGACGTCAAGCCAGTCAGCGGCGCTTGTCAGCAACCGGCTGCACGGCCTTGCTCTCACGCCGCTCGCATCTCGACTGTAAAATCATGTCACAGACTCACAAGCATCATGGTCTGCAGCCGCTGGTTTGCTGCTGTCGGTGCGGCGGGGGTGGCGGACGGCCCTCCGCGCGCAGTGGCTTCGTCACTTTGGAGATTGACACAGACTGGGAGCAGCACGCCGCGCGGCCCGTGATGCACGCCGCACAACCCCTTGTCTTCCACACTGCTGAATTTCTGTCTTCCACACTGCTGACGTTGTGTCTGCTGACCTTTGCCAACCCTCTCACTTTCTACTGCTCGCAACGCCTCAACGCGCGCAAACTCTGCGTCTTGCCTCGCTGCATAGGTGTGGTCCTAGCAGGCCTGATCCTCGGCCGGGGCACCCTGGCTGCCCCTGCTCGCCGCACCTTGAGCGAGCGGACCACCACCATGTTCATGCCACGTGCCATGATCACCGCCATCCCCGGCAACACGGCCATCCCGACCCCCGTGGAGCGCGGCCCCCCAACACAGCCCAGCAGTACGCCACACCGCGACGACGCCGACGTGACCACCCAGGGCGTGGCAGTTGGGGGCGCGGCCCCAAACCACGCCGCCACCACTGCCGTCGGCCAAGCTGGCGGCGGCACCTCTGCATCACCCGGAAGGGGCTCGTGGCCCCGCGCCCTGCTGGGGGAGCCAGCGGCTGCGGCCGAGAGCAATGCCACGGTCAGCGAAGGCCGCGGCCACACCTCCTTCAGCTCCGCCCCGGTCAGCCCCTCCCCTGTCACCAGCGCTGTCACCGCGCTGCCCATCGACATCATCACCGCCCTTGCCCCCGAACAGGGTGGCACAGTCCAACTTGGCTGAATGGTACGCTACGACAGGTGCTGCCGCTGCAGGTCGCTCGCCGCAGCCGTTCAACGCAAGTTCCTCCCGAGTGCATAGATGCGCCGGGGCCTTGATTTCCTTTTGGCCACAACCACTGGTGCCAAGCAGCCAAACTTCCATATTTGCAGCACCATTGAAAGATGAGTGCGCACAATAACCCAAGCAAAGCGCATGATCATTGAGTGCCCTTTGTGACGGTTCATTTACGCTTGTATGAACGCGTACGGCGGCCTCGCATTTGCAGTCCCTCCCTAGCGCTGCAGTGCGACATGTTTTATGTGGATCCTGTGAACCACGCAGCCCTATCTGCGCACACGCACGTTGGTTTTTTGGGTTTCAAGCACCGCGGGAGTCGCTGTCTGCTGGGCACGCCTGGCCCGCATATGTTGGTCTCAACCAACCGCCTCCCATCGTTGTTTTTGCGTGGAGCTTTGCTCCCCCGGCCTCACATCGCATGTGGGGCCGCCGCTGCCGCGGCCGCTGCGAGGCGGCACGTCGGCGCGGTGCGGACTGTTCAGGAGGAATAAGCCCGGTGGGGCATGGGTGCATTAGCCCCGCGCTGCCATTGTGCGTGTGGGGTCCCGCGAGGATATTCACATTTCCACACCCCTGCAAGATCATGTGACCTGCAAATTGCACTGCGCCGCCTCTGTATTCCTCAAGCAGGCGCGTTGGCGCATAGGGCGGACAGTCGCCAAGTGTGAAAGCAGGGCGGGAAGGGCGCAGGTCGAGGGATGCGCTCGCTTCACCAAGAGGCTGAGAAGGGATTCAATGTTGCTTGCTTTGCTGCCATGCGTGCAGGTGGCATTGCTGTTGTGGCACTTCTTCCATATGTACCATATTGTACAACCATAACCTAGCGATACTGCACCTACTGCGTAACACAGTTCTTTCAGTCAGGTCGCCGCTCGGTTGGTCGGCTGGTGGGCACCACATGTCGCCTTGGTCATGGCAGCAACCGCTCCCGTGTCCTGTCCCTCGTGCTTTCAGAGGTGGTGGGTGCCAAAGCGCTCTCAGCCTGGGCGTGGACCGCGCCGCCCTTCCTCTCAGTTGTGCAAGCACAGCAGCCCTGATGCATGCACGGGCCAGGCTGCGGTGATTGCGCAACTGCATGCAGTTGTGCTGTCGCTCTTCAGGCCAAGAAGCTGGGAATGGATGCATACTTCACAGTAGGGGCATGCATCCTGGCAGGGCTGTAGTTTGTCTTGGGCTTGCTGCATCCCTCCTTCAGCGCAGGCTGCGGTCGTTGCATCATTGGTGCTCGGGGCGGGCGCGGCGTTGCTGCGGCTGCTGCTGTGGGCCGTCGTGCAGCTGGCAGTGATCGTGCTGCTGCTTCCGAGCGTCAGCGCTCTGCATTCTCACACATGCCCTGGATGGTGCTCGCGTTGTGCTAAGTCGTGAGCTGCGCAGATGCTCGTGACCCGTGTGCACAGGTTGACTTTTTCTTTCGGCTTGGCGTGGTTTTCGTGAAACACACCAGGTTGGAAGAACATCGCGCCACTCAAGCCACACAATCCAACTGCGAGCCCACAGGGCCGTTCGGGCGAGAGGGCACCGCCTGGGGACGCGTGTGACCGGTGGCACAGCATACGCGCGCCTCACCAACGCAACTCAGTATAAGCGTGAGCCACAACAGCTGCAAGCATCAAGTGGGCCCTGAGCCGAGCGCGACCTGGCACTGCGGATACAGCTTGCGCGGCGCTCTCATGCTCCACCGGCTGGCTGCTTGCTTGCAGAGCCACTGCTCACGCCTGGGCGCTTCATGAACTTACTCTTCGCCAGAGGAAAGTGGTCCCTGGAGGTAGCAGCATCACCCCCGAGTGATCTGCAACGTTGAT